TGGAGTGGTCCTCCCCTATACAACCTTCGCGCCGCTCCCCTCCACCCCGCGACTCCCCTTCCCCAACACTGCAGCACCTCCGCCCGATGCCCGATCGCCTACGCTCCGGCGCGCCCCCTCCAACCGGTACGCGCCCCTCTCCCCGCTCTCCCAGCCCCACTCCCCGCTCCCCGAGCCCCGTCGATGAGAATGAACCCCCGTTCGCCATGGTCGTCGACCCCGCGTCGCCCCTGGAGTGGCCAACCCCGGCCGTCCGAACGGTCCTCGGCACCATCAGCGGAGGCGACCTCACCAACACCACCGACCCCGACGCCCTGTCCGCGCCCCCTGCCCCTCCAACTCCGCCGCTCCGCCGCTCCGCCAACGCACCCCTCGCACCCCCCCATACCCCGCTCCTGCCCCGGGCCCCACCACTATCCACTATCGGATGCCCCTCCTCGGCCACCCAGCATACGGAGGGGCCCTCCTCTACGACGAGCGACTCCCAGACGGCTGGTAAATCGGGCCAGAAGAACCCCGTCGTGTCGGCGGACACCCTTGGGAGTGGCGTATCTCAGGCCACCTCAACGGGACTGCTCTCCTCGAGGTCCAACTCCGGAGCTACGCCTGGGACGAGCGGTGGGAACAAATCTCTGGCGTCGACAACGCCTACCTCATCGGCGTCTTGGGCGACAACCTTCACCCCAGTGGACGGTTCACGGAGACGCAGTACCTAGGGTTTCTTCGGGCGATGATTCAGGCCCGCGACCCTGCCGCCCGCGTCACTGATCACGACGTCTGGAGAGAAGCGGCCGACAACCTCATCGACGCGTACGACGTCCGCAACATCCCCGTTTCAGTCCGTCAGTACCGGAACGGACGCGCCGTGCGCCTCTACGACAACATGTCGGGGAACGACCTCCATCGCAGCATTTGGGGGAACTTCTACGACGACGAGATCCTCGACGTCTCTGACTACGGCGACTCCCCTCCACCCACCCCTGCCACACCCGCCGCACCCGTCGAGGACATCCTCCGTTCGCGCAGCCCCTCCCCCGTATCCCCGCCCGCTGTCGTACACGACGTCCCCTCTGACGCCATCCCCACCCCTTTCCGCCCCGTATGCCCCGCCCCTGCTAACCCTTCGTCCCGTTCCCCATCGCCCCCCGCCGCCATCGCACCGTCACCATCTCGTGCCATTACCTTCATCGCTGGGGGCTACTTCAACCCTGCCGACCCTGGCTTAAACATCGGGCTCTGGTACCCGCCAGTGCCCTCGTCACCGCTCACGGAGCCGGACTTGGAGTTGAACGATCGGGACGATCGTGCTTAGAAACGGGGGTAATGTTACCGTTGGTACGCCCCACCCCCTATCTTTTTCTATTGGACTACTCCTTCTCGTCGCCCTCGTGTACACTCCACCCCCCTTCCTGTTCCCGGCGACCTATGTTTACCTTCCCGTTCCCCTGTCGTCCGCCTGTACACTACCACCCCCATTTCCGCCCCCTGACGACTGCGTTCCTAGTCCCGGCCCTCTCCCCTAATATTTCCCCTTTCGCCTATATGACTGGACCCTGAGTCCGACCCTGACCCTTTCCCTTTTCAGTTACATTACTTTACCCTGACCCAGACCCAGACCCTTGTCGCGCCCCCTTCCCTTTTCGGTTATATTGCCCGACCCTGACCTAGACTCAGGACCCTGTCCCGTCTCTATCCCTTTTCGGTTATATCACAGGACCCTGACCTAGGTCTCGTACTATACTGGGCCCAGCCTCGACCAGACGCGTTCCTTTGCAGTCTCCTCATACCTCCCCACTTTGGTCGGTTACCTTTCCCTTCCTAACACGGTCGGTACCCCATAGTATATAAGGAGGCCTGTAGTCGGTAGAGGCTCCCCACTTCTGTTCTCCTCTTCGTTACCTCCTGTATCCCTATATCCCTCAATCTAGGGACTTGTGCGATACTCTCTCCCCTGTGTGCTACACCGCGTACTTGGATAAGTCCGCGTGATAAGTCTGGATAGACTTGTG